TAATTGACTAGAAGAGCTAAATATTACAAATATTACATACAAAGCAAACCATTTTCTCAGAGTATTCTGAATTGTAGAAAAATTTTAAAGATTTCGTAAAGATCTCATCCGATTTTTTGCTGAACTTTCTAAAATTAAATAAACTGTGCACACTTCGATGCTTTTACGAAATTGAGGAAAAAATCGGTAAAGCAATGAAAATAATGCTGCTCTGTGTAGAATTTCTTGCAGCATTTTTTTAGAATTTTCTTTATTGTTCGAACAGAAATTTCTTCGTGTCAACCACTTTATATAATTTTCTTTGAAGATTCGTAAAAAAATTATTACAGAAATGAAATGCTCCTAAAGATTTCGTTAAGATTTCGGGAACTTTGGTTTGCAGGGCCAAATAAAGCCATTTCCGGTGTAAGTGTGCAAGTCATACGAAAAGCATGCAAACATGTTCGCCATCACCATTGCCATCGCCATCGCCATAGGTGACAGCGACCACGTCAGCATCGTTGATTGTCAGCACCGGTTGATCGATGGCAGTTTTTGTATTGAAATGGTTAAAAATTGTCATCGCTCAGATTTAAATCAGCAACAGCAATTAAACATTGTTGCAGTGGCGATGTGCCTAAATATATACATACATATGTACATACATACGTACATTTGTGCATTGGTGGGTACGTAATGCAGATGAACTAAGAGAGGCCCGTCTGCTGGCTCATCGCAAAATAACTAAGCAATAATATGCATTTTGAAATACTTATTCAAAAATAAAAACCGTGTGCCATTATGAATGTACATAAATCTATCTACAGATTTATGTAGGTACATGTGTACATATGTACATATGTAATATCAGCCCAGACAAGAATACCCTGAACTACTCAAAATCATACAGTCATACAGTCATGGCTACATATGTACACATGTATGTACATATGTATATATTTGTGTTTGCCAATTTTCTTTAGCCAAAAACTCAATCACCCCATTTACTAGTGCAAATCGGCTAAAAGCTTTGTGCAAATACACACACACACACACACACATAAATACATAGTGCGGGTGCACTTGCAAATGCAAGGAGACGGTGGTGGTAGGGTCTACTTGGCTATAGCTGAAAAGCGGCGTGCAGCCACCCAGCCGCATCCCTAATCGTTGTGCATAAATTTTTATGAATTAATTCAACAAATTTTTGGCAGTTTTGTGATCATTAATAATCTGCTTTTGCTAGGAAATGATTTTGCTTTTACCATTCATTCAAGTTTATTTTCGCATTAGTATTGGTAAATACATATTCGTAAATATATTTGCTAACTAAGGATGGGTGGAATATAAAAAGAATTCGGGTAGCAACCCGAGAAAGTTATTTCGATGAGTAATACGAACATAGCCTTCCTACTAATAATAAATATCACCATTTTCTAAGTAATTACAATTACATGAACTATAGAAGAATCTAAATTTGCAGATATGAGTGGACAATGGCATCAACAATTATTTTTCTTTCTTGTCTTTCGAGTATTTTTCTATTGCTCTACAATCTCTGTGGGTCATCTTATTTTACAGATTGCTGCCTTTTACCGGCCGAATGCATACCGATTTACGGCAGTAGCAATGTTCTTTTGGATAGTAATTTCCCTACAAATCAGATAATTGTGACGCATTCCCCTCTCTCGACAGAAGATGGAGAACATATGAGAACGAACCACAGTTTCAAAATACAAATTGTTTGTTGCCACAACTTTGGCGAATGAAGATGTCAGAAGAGATGCTATTGAAACTTTTAACAGCTTTTAGTCGCACGTTCCGGAAAGGTATCCTAGCTATTGTACTCAAAAAGGCTTTTAATGGCGACCTCGGAAAACAGCTTCATTCTGTCGCACAGTGGGCGTTTGGCTGATCTAGCGTAACGAAATTAATTACTCAAAAAATAAAAAAAAAATTACAAAGTTGATAATTTTTATATAATATTAACTCAAATAAGAACGAAACTAAATAATTTTTTTTTAAATTTTAATTTTTGTTTGTTTTCAAATTAAAACTATTATTTTTTCTACTTTATTTTTGCTATACTTGTGGTCAGTTCTCCGAATCCGAAGGGAAATTCTGGACTTCCCTGTCAAAAAAGTGCTTTGCTGGAGTTATTTGACGAAGTTTTGCACAAACTTGTTATGACTGGATCCGAAGAGACAAATAACGAGTTCCTCAGATACACCATGGTATTTAAGCGCAAATTTTTGCGAGTATGTTTTAGCCGAAAATTTCGGCAAATCAGATTTTCATACCTGTCATCATCACCTGAGATTTGGCTGATTGCATTGGGATGCGCTCAACAATTCTAGCTATTGTGTGGTCCAGAATTTCTTGCAACGGAATTTAATCTGTATAACACATTCTGTCGGCGGGTCGCAAAACATCATATGTGGGAAAGATATTGGCTTTTCGCGCTTTTGTACCAGCTTGCAAAAGCTTATATGATTTTTTGGTGTAATCGCCATCTATGTAATGGGCTAAAGCTTCCCCTGGAGTGTATTTTATAGGCAGCTGTTGGTTTACATATATCCAGGCTTCTTTATATTTTTTTAGATGTATCCGCATCTGTGCCTACCATTGAAACTATATTTGATGGAGTGCAGTGTTTTCCACTTTTGTATAGGCTAATAGGTATTTCTCATAAGTTCTTTGCAAGTGTTGCCTTCGACGAGATTCGAAACTTTGGTGCATTGACCTTTTGAGTGGCAATCAGCAATGTTCTTTTCCTTCCGTCCTGCACCTAATTTTCGTGTCTGGGCTTAGAAGAACCAAATTTTTGTTTAACCAAGCTGCGTTGATGCACTCGAATTCCTATTACATTTTCTCCACCTTTCGAACAGCCTTTCACAGAAAATACTTCGAAAGATATACCACCAGAAAATACTGAAAATTCTCTTCAGATAATATGCTCTTTAAAATACATTTAAGCAAGTTTTATGTACAGCATGTAATACATAAATAAACTTGTTAAAGTTTTACAAAATTGCACTGCATTTACATAAAATTAACAAAGAACTCAAAAATTTTTAACCGATTTAAGAAAAATGGTGGAGGTTATCAATTCGTCGGAATATTTGTTTCTTTTCTTTTCTATGTAATCTACCACATAACTTTGGACCACGTGAACCGATTTCTATAATTCTTTTTTTTTTATCGGAAAGATGGTACCTGTTGTGGTTATGTTTTTTGCTTAAAAATTACTTGTTTTAAAAAAAGTTCTATAATCACAAGATGTGCTCAAATTTCGAAAGTATTTAATATACAATTTTAAAAAAGAGTTTTAATGTTCATTTTCCTCTGTTTCTGGTTTTTGATGGAAATGCTGATTTTTCACGATTGCCTAATTTTTTTAATAGTTTTTTATATTTTATTATGTAGCTCATTTTGGTGGAATGAATTCGAAGTTGGCAAATTAAATCTTCGAATTCTTGTTAAGTTCATATAAGTGGTAAACTCTTTTAGGCTTGAAAGTGTAAAAAACAACAGTAAGTGAGTATGCATTGCATATTTTTAGAAGGAGAAGGTTGGACGACCTTTTTGTCCTATTCCTAAAAAAAGCCGCTGATCCGACTTCTTCCGAAGTGAAGTGTTTAGGTGTAACTTATGGAAGTCTTACGTTATTAAAAAAAAAACATCCAAAGCTTTTAAGTTAGAACTCCAGACCAAACTTTTCAGCGCTCTATTCAGTTTTAAGGTATCTGCGAAAGCGTGAGCACTGTAAGCTATAACGTCTGATAAGCTGGCTACAGAGCTCGATCTTAGCAGCGTTCTGGCAATGGAAGCAGACGTACGGGAGCTTTTATTACAACACCTGAGGCTGCTCTGAATGCATTCCGAAACATATCGTTTGTTTTTTTGGTTTGGCCCTTAAGGCTATTTGCTGCAATGGCAAATCTCCGGGTATATTTCTGCCTTGAAAAAGCTTCTCATAAAACCATGTGCCGTTCGGAGGTAGCTTGTATGAAATAGGACAACCGTCAATCACTCATGATACCTCCGCTTATACCTTATGTTATTTTAAATCATTGAATATTATATTTAGAGATTAATTTGCAAACGTTGTCTAATTTCAGATGCGCGAAGCTGCGTCACCTGTGATAAAGTATTAGCGGAACTCGAAAAAATCGACGATGACACCGATTCATTCGGTGTTGACTTCGTAAAGATTAACGACAAACGACTAGCGAAGCAATACGGAATTAAAAATTTCCCAGCACTCACGTACTTCAGGTAAGGAAATGATAGATATATCTAATCGTTGAGTTGTTAGGATTATACAAAATTTAGTATAATTAGTTTTTAGGTATGCAATTTTAGTCTAATCAAGTGCAAGTTTAATTCGGCTAAAAACTGGCGTTGTTTTTTAATAATAACGTTCTAAAGACTCAGTTCGAAATTTTGATGAAAATTTGTCGAATTTTCCCAAAAATTTTGTAAATATAAACTTGAAAACTTTGATTCATATGGTTTCGGTTAAGGTGTAAACAATATTTCTATAAATATATAACAAAATGTTTTAACTAAGTCAAGTTTTCTCAAGTGGGCCACCCAAAGTTGCCTTTTCGATGTTTCATATTTCATTGACCGATTTTGAAAGTTTACATGGCTTGAAATATCGACACCAAAGATTATTGGGCAGCGAAATAAAGTGGTCAGTTTGTAAAATTTCGATTCCTATTATACAAAAAAAAAATATTTTTTTAATAAATATAATTTTTTACCAACTTCTCATATACCTAGGAAAAGAATTCAACTATCATTATTTGCGCTAAACAAAAAATAAAATTTTCAAACTTAATTATCAAATTAAGAATTATCAAATTATTATTTTTTTTTTTATTTTAGGTTCATTTGTTCCTTACCTATATTTTTTTAAACTGGGTTTATTTTTTTTTTTTTGGTACAAAGCTTTGAGTCAATCAAAGGTAGAGTAATTTTTTTATGAAAATAAAACTGAGTGTTTAGCGCAAATAATGCTTTTTGAATACTTTTCCTAGGTATATGAGAAGTTGGTAAAAAATTGAATTTTTATTCTTTAAATATAATCTTTTATAAAACAAAAATCGAAATTTTACAAACTGACCACTTTATTTTGTTGCCCAGTAAGTTCTCTAACTGCTGTCAAAAAAATCATAAGATTCGAACGAATGGTTGCTGAAATATTTTAAAAAAGTGTAAAAGCCTGCATAAAAATTTGCTTGCAAATAAGTCGTAAAAAAAATATCGCAAAATCTTGGTGTCAATAATGCACGCCATGTTAACTTTCAAAATCGGTCACTGAAATATAAAAAATCGAAAAGCCAACTTAGGGGGCCCACTTGAGAAAACTTGACTCAACTTAAGAAACAATGTATAGATTAAAAAAAAATCAACATGTGAACACTTGTGTTAGTCACTGTATGTGTGTATATTTTTGTAGGAAAAATTAAAAAATGGTCTGCGCTTAAAAAGGCTTTGTTAAGAAATAAATTTAATTGGTCAAATAAAAAATATTGTAATTTCATAAATGTTTCATAGTTATTAATTAATGGTACTTACTATTATTCGTCAAAGCTGTTTTAAGCAAAAGGAAATAAAAATTGGGAAAAATATGGTTTAAAAAGAGTTTCAGGATATACAATTTTTAAATAGAAAATGAGGACCTTTTCGGAAAACTTTGTTGTAGGAATACATTTTTTTTTAAAGGGGTTGCCATATATCAAATAAATTAAATACTTACACGTAATAATAAGAATAATAATAATAGATTGACGCCTTGATGTTGTCACACAAAGCGGAGGGACGTACAGTTTTACGTTGATCTCGAACAGTGATTGTATTTTTATGAGAAGCTTGCCATTGCCTGCCGAGGGGCGACCGCTGTTAAGAAAAAACATGTTTTTTATATATTTTTTTGCGATGTTGCCTTGATCAGGGCTTGAACCCAGTGAATTATTGCCACTGAAAAGTGTTTTACTTAAATTTTAATTTTAGTTTATAAATAATATTTAAATACTGATCAACTTTTATATATGCAATTTCAAAAATTCCCTTACAGGGAAAAGGAACCAATTATCTATGATGGCGATCTCATGGACGAGGAGGGTGTACTCGATTTCCTCACCTCTCTGGAAGCCATGGACTTGCCCGATCGTATTGAAGAGGTCAATTCAAAGATTCTTTTAAAAATCATCGAGGATACTGACTTCGTAGCTGTTTTATTCTGTAAGTCTTTTGTTGTGTTTTATTTCGAATTTCTCTTTATTTACATTTTCGAAGTTGAATTTATACTTTTTCATAAAGTTTTTTCGCCGCACACATTAAGTAGAAAAAAAGTAGAAAAATTTTCAAAGCATTTGTTTTTAAGAACATAATATTATTTTAGTTTGCATAATTTTCTTTAGATTTCATATGCGAATTCGTAACGAAAGCCAAGCAGTTACAGTTTTTAGTTAAAGTTTTTTTTTTTTTTAAGAACTATCTCACTAATCCAAAGAAACACAAATACATTTGTAGACAATTTTACATAGAATAAATGAACAGTTTTACACACATTCATACAAATGAAATGAAAATTGTTGACTAAATTCGAATTAAACTTCTTACACATAACATTTAGGAGGTTCCCGTAAATGTAGACAAAATACAAGAATTTACACTTAGCAGGTTTTTTAGCTAACCCATGCATATGTGACTAACAACAAGAAAAAAAAATTAAAAAAAAAAAAAAAACAATGTGGAGGCGAACTGAATATGCTAAATGTTTAGCACTAAAAAAAAAAAAACAAAAAACGAAATGAGGCAAAAGGACAAATTTAAAAGCAAGAAATGAAAACTACTAAAAAAAAAGAATAAAACCTTAACGCGCTTCGCGCTCTGTCACATACTATTTACTCACTGTCCTACCTATGTCTACTAGACTTTTGGATATCTACTGTACATAAAACTATTCTGAATTGTCGACTACTTCAGGTCCCGATCATGCCACGTGTCCGCCTAGGGTTATGGGTAAGTGAACGAGCACTTAAAGTTGGATTTTCCAAATATCTACTTGTATTTGCCTATCGATCATGGCCTCTCCTCCAACTTACAACCACCAACAGCAGCCGAACTACTAGTTACAAAAAAACGCAGCAATAAAACTAAATACCAGATTGGTCTTATGCAAATTATGTCAATTAATTCTTTCCCAACGCACTCTCATCCTGCACTGGCACTGAATTGAATTTGAGTGGTGCATTTTAACTCTTTTTACCTAATGAACTCTTCCTGTTTTTTTTTTTGGTTGTCCGTCCCACCTGTTATCCTCCACTTGTTTGTACATATATATACATATACATATACATATGTATGTACATACATAGAAGTAAATTTAAATTTATGCAGCATGTGGCATGCACTTGAATGTGTTTTGATATGCAATAAAACTATCTAATTGATATTTAAAACTAACTGTGGTGCTCCATGTTGTTTCGCCCTTAAGCTTTAAAGCTTTGCATCGCTTTTGCTGTAATGCTTTATTAACCCGTTTACAACGAGTGTATGAATGTATGTGTAAAGGATATTATGCAGATATATTTAAATATGTATGAGGATATGTATACAGGTACCATTCCCAGCGTTGAACCCACCTAAAACGATGTACATAAACTAATTCCAAAACTTTGGTATTTAAACTCAAGTGCATACATAAATATACATATTGCAACAAACATACAGATACATACGATTATAATATGTATGTATCTACATATGTGTTTATAAATATTTATGAGCAGTAAAATTATGATGGCAAGTTTCGTACATATAAAAAAAAAACAAGCTGAAAACAATATACATACATACGTATCTGCACAGCAAGTGTTAACTAAAAGCATCAGGTAAAAGTAAACAACAAACCGAAGAAGTACGAATTCGCCTGTACGCAAAAATATGTATGTATTTATTTAGACCATTAACAAATTTATGGAGGAAACTGAATTATGATAAATGGATGAAAGTGAATTTCCTGTGAAAAATTCACATAAACATACATACATAAATATGCGTGTGTACGCTGTATCAATATTATTTGGTAAATATTTCACACTTTGATTGGTTAGAAATAAGTTTCGACACTCGACTTTTTCGGTGCCAAGGGAAAGATGTTTTCTAAACATTTCTTCTACTCATCGGAAAATTGTGTGGATTTTCGTTTTATTTGTCTATGCATTTTAGGATGTTTCTCATTATGATTTAGCTAATTTTAACACTAATACTTGAGAAAAAATAAAGATAAAAAAACTATAAATTATAAAAATAAAAAAAATAAAAAATGACATATCGCTAACTAGAGTGAAAAGCTGTTAAGTATGTTTTTTCTAAAGAAGTATACTTTGATACAAGAAGCACGAAGAAGAAGAAAACGCATCGTCCCCTGAAACCAGAAAAAAATTTTATATAAAGGAAAATTTTTTTAGGTCTAAAAATCTAAGAGCAACTTAACAAAATTAATAGAAATAAATTTTAAAATTAAAAGTAATAAACTTTTATCAAACAAAATTTTGATTTGTTTAATTTTTTGTTAAATATTTTTATGTTTTTAAACATGAAATTCCTTTTTGAAAACTAGAAAAAAAAATTTGTGAAATGTTTGAAAAGCATTTTATTTTAAGAATAAAAATAGTTTTGATATCAAAACATGTTATTCATCACAAAGAAGTTGTAATTAAAATAATGTACTTTTTAACATATTTTGGGTAGAACATTAGCTTTTTAATCTGAGGTCTCTGGTTCATATCCCAATGACCGCGGTAGAAGAAGTCTGATGTCAAGACGTGGTGATCTCCGAAATAGCAGCTATAACTCCTACAAAAATGTAAAGTTATTGTTGTTTTCTCGCAAACATTTTCATTAAGAAAAGCCTTAAGCTCAATAAAATTGTTTAATATAATTGTTATAACTTATATCACAACAAAAAAAAAACAAAAATTTATTCAAAAATTACTTATTTAGCAAAAAAAAATTGCGTTTGTTAAAAAATTTTAACCAAAAAAGTATCAAAGTCCAGCTAAAAATAAGGCCAACAAAAAAATTTGAATATTAAAAAATAAATTTATCCCCAAAAAAATTTAATTTGCTAAAATGTTTAAACAAAAAAAAAAATTAAATTAATTTAACATGTTTGTGGACAACAATTTTTCTCCAATTTTCGTGGGTAATTTGCCAGAGAATGTTTGGCATCACTGCAGATGCCAATGCTGTCCTCCTCGTTCCCACTAGAAGAAGGTTTTAGTCTCATAGTTACTCCTCTAATCCAACTATCAAATCGAGAATAATCATCTGACTAAATTGTTATGCGAAAAATGCTCCCTAAGGTAGAATTCGATCTTTATCAATCCCAAGTGTAAGCTACATTTTTCGTTTAAAAAGATTATCATCAGCTGATGTTTTTTTCAGTATTTGACGTTTTTTTATAGCTTTTGGTTTCTTCAATTCAACTCGCTTAAATTTAACAATTTTTCATGCCACTTCTTGAGGTAGAAATCAAAGAAAAAAACTAGGAAATGCAATTTTTATACGCTATTTTTATAGCAGACTCGCGAACACAACAGATTAGACAAGTTCATATGGCTCGTATGTTTTGTCGACGACAACATGCCCGCCCCATGGCAGGCCAATAGAATTTGCCTAACACCAAAAAAAAAGAAACATGCGAGCAAACATAAGTAGTTTATATAAAATTAGAAAAGTAAATTTAACAAGCATACATTCATAAATTAAAACAAGTAAGAGCAGCGCTGTCTTCGGCTATGCCGAAGGCTTCATACCTTTCATGAACATCTGCAAATTTTAGTTTGACAGATTACTGATTTTGAATACATCTGCATACATCGATAGAGAAGTTACATACCTATATAAAAAATCGCATCTGAACAAACAGAGGTATGGAAGATATACCTTATATTAGCACCAATCTAAGTGATTTTCACTGCTACGTGATCGGTATGTAAACCGGTAACACAATTTATTGGGTTTAGTTTCCTACATAAAGAAGATATATCGCAAAAACTGGTATCTGAACAATCAGTGGTATAGGAGATAAAGCTTATACAGCAAAGATTTTGACGATTTTCTCAGTAGACCTTGTATTTTTTATTTATAAAATATCTTACGAAATTTATCGGTTTTAGCTGTTCAAATAAAGGAGTTTTACAGTAAAATCCCATATCTGAACAATGAGATGTATGGAAGATATATGTTGTAGTCATCCGATCCTTGTTATTTTCACTGTAAGTATTCTGTTAATAATGAGTGAAAATGGTGCGAAATTTCATGTTCCTAGCTGCATAAATGGATGAATTATAACGAAAAATCTCATATCTGAACAATCAGTTGTATGGGAGCTATAGGTTATAGTTACCCGATCTTTTTAATTTTCACTGTAAGTTTTCTGTTGATAATTATTGAAAACAGTGCGGAATTTCATGTTCCTAGCGATATAAATGGAGGAGTTATAACGAAAAATTTTATATCTGAACAATCAGTTGTATGGGGGCTATAGGTTATAGTGACCCGATCTTTGTAATTTTCACTGTAAGTATTCTGTTAATAATGGGTGCAAGTACTGCAAAATTTCATGTTCGTAGCTGCATAAATGGAGAATTTATAACGAAAAATCTCATATCTGAACAATCAGTTGTATGGGAGCTATATGTTATAGTGGTCCGATTCTTCCGGTTCCGACAAATGATTAATACATTATAAAAATACACCCACATACCAAATTCGATACGGATATCTCGAAAACTGAGAGACTAGATTGCATACAAACAGACAGACAGACGGACAGACGGACAGACGGACAGACGGACAGACGGACATGGTTAAATCAACTCAGCTCGACGTTCTGATCATATAAGTATACATTTTAATGGGTCTATCTCTTTTTGTTCTGGTACTTACAAACATCGGACCAAAGTTATAATACCATTTCATGCTCATGAAAGGTATAAAAACATACTTACAAACTTGCATATGTATACTCTTTCATATACGCGATAGCGACCAGCTAAATCTCTGCAATTCGTGTACATTTGCTAGGTGACCGCATAGAGAAAATGCTCAAATGTAACATCAATCGTCTGGGCTTGTCGCCAGTCTAATGGCGATGGCGGTAGCCATGGCACATCGTCGTCACCGAGATTCAGATAGGAAAGAATTTGCATATATTTGGCGGTGCATAT